GTTACAAAGTCTAAAAATAGATATGAGTAGGAGACCTTTTAGAAACATCACACAAAGTCACTATTTCAAAGTACGTGTTATAATTAGGTGGCTCACACCTGTAATCCCAGCACTTTGGGAGGCCAAGGTGGGTGGATTACTAGGTTAAGAGATCAAGACCATCCTGGTCAACATAGTGAAATCCCGTCTCTACTGAAAATACAAAAAAATTAGCTGGGCATGGTGGCGTGTGCCTGTAGTCCCAGCTACTCGGGAGGCTGAGGCAGGAGAATTGCTTGAACCCGGGAGGCGGAAGTTGCGGTGAACCGAGATCACGCCATTGCACTCCAGCCTGGGTAACAAGAGCAATACTACGTCTCAAAAAAGAAAAAAAAAAGTCTCCACGTTTAAAATATATTTACAGCTTCGTATCTATGATTATATCAAAATTTATATCCACATGTTGTTTCAAGATTAAGGCACTTTAAACATTTTTATGTGATTTCGCTTATACGTAAACTCTAAGCACTATAACAACAAAGCCAAACAGATTTCTAAATCCTTAACTTGATTATATAGTTTTAAAAATATCCATGTTTGTGGATTCCAGTAAGTAATGATTGAGATCCAGCTGGGCACAGTGGCCAAGCCTGTAGAGTGACCCTCTGTGCTTTGGGAGGCAAAGGCAGGAGGATCACTTGAATCCAGGAGTTTGTGACCAGTCAGGGTCTCAACATAGTGAGACCCCATTTTTACGAAAAATGTAAAATTTATCTGGGTACAGTGGCATGTACCTATAGTCCTAGCTACTCAGGAGACTGAGGCAGGAGGATTGCTTGAACCAGGAATTCAAGGCTGCAGTGAGCCATGTTCATGCCACTGCACTTGGGCCTGGGCTATGGAGCAAGGCCTTAGATCTAGAAAAAATTAAAATAATAGTAGTAAACAATGATTAAAATCTATACGTATTTGAATCTCATTGTTGTGTGATGAATTGCTGAAAACGGAATGTTTGTTTCTCCTGTTGTGTTTGTTTTGGCTACATCTGCTTGTCTTCGGTAGAGAACCGTGTTCCCTATCCAGATATTGGAAATGTCATGAATTATACTGTGCTTCTCTGAATATAAAATAAAAAGAAGATATAATAAAGGCTTATATGTGTGTGCTCCAGCTTAGAACAAGTCCCCAGTACTCTTCAGATAACTATGGGATGGATACTATTGTCCTTATTTCATAGATATGGAAACAGAGTTTTGCAGGTCTATTTATTTATTTATTTACTTACTTATTTTTTTTTGAGACGCAGTCTCACTCTGTTGTCCAGGCTGGAATGCAGTGGTGCAATCTCTGCTCACTGTAACCTCCAGCTCCTGGGTTCGAACAATTCTCCTGTCTCAACCTCCTAAGTAGCTGGGATTACAAGCACGCACCACTACACCCAGCTAATTTTTGTATTTTTTTTTCAGTAGGGACAGGTTGCATCATGTTGGCCAGGCTGGTCTTGAACTCCTGACCTCAGGTAATCCACCTGCCTTGGCCTCCCAAAGTGCTGGGATTACAGGCATGAGCCACCCCGCCCGGCCAAGTTTTACAGACCTTGTTCCACTTTATAGTATTCCTGAAAAAACTCTCATGTGGTAGAAGAGCGCAGTACCACTAAGAATATCATTCTTTTTGAGACAGGGTCTCATTTTGTTGACCCAGCTAGAGTACAGTGGCATGATGATAGCTCACTACAGCCTTGACCTCCTGGTCTCAGGCAGTCTTCCCACCTCAACCTCCTGAGTAGCTGGGGCTACAGGTGCATGCCACCACACCTGGCTAATTTTTCAGAAATTTTTTTGTAGAGGTAGGGTCTCAGTATGCTGTCTATGCTGGGAAAATATTATGTATATAATTTCTTCTCTCCTAAAATGCTTGTTCATCCAGATAAAGTGATCAGTCCCACCCTAATGAGGCAGGTTGTGCTGTATTTTCTTCTTTGTTTTGAGCAATTGGAGAAATTCTCTAAAGGGAAATAAATCGCTAATTATTTCATTAGTTTAGGTCTGTTGTTTCTTATCTCCAATGAAGGTAAATGTTGGCTCCTTGCACATTCCTTCCTATAGTACTCTATCTTCCACCCCCAGCAGTTTGTTAAATCAGATTTAACGTATTTCTTTCCCAGAATAAAGCAATTAATCTTTTAAACTTACTTGTAAAATATTATTTAAGTCTACTATGGACAGTAGGAATGACATAAAGTAAAAATCCTTCTGTGTGAGCCATGTGTTTCACATTTCTATGCTATTCTGGACTTTCTATAATTTCCAACTAATGTCATTACATTGTGAACACCAAATTGGAAATCATCACACTTTTTCCTCTTGGAGTATTTTGCTCATCCATGTTCCGAATCTATTTTTATTCTCTAGAAGCCCAGTCTGTTTCAGATTATTTTTCTCGTTCGAGTCCCTGCATTTCAAAAGGCTAACCTTAACCTGTTGAGTGACATGTGTGTGATTGTGTGTGTGTACAAGTGTAATGTAATAAGATATATCTGTTTGGTCTCTGCCCCTGGCTCCTAAGGCAGACCTCCTAAAACCCTTATAATCTGAGCAATAGGGGTGCTAGGTGCATCTTTTGTTCTAATATTTGGTCGTTGACCCTGGTTCCTGACACAGAGTTCCTAAACCCGTGGAATTTTCTGGGTGTTAGGAATGTCTTTTGTTCTAATTAGGTGACTGTTGGATAGCTTCAGGATGGGGGCTGGTCATGAGAAAGTCCAAGCCATGATTAGAAAGTTCAGACTTTCAACTCGACTGCTCCCCTGCATCTTTAGGAAAGGGAGAGGAGCTGAAGACTGACTTAATAATAGATCACATCTATATGATGAATCTGGTATAAATATTGCGGAACTACAGGTTGCAGACAGCTTCAGATTGCTGAACTCATGGAAGTTCTTAGAAGAAAGAGTGCCTGGAGAGAGTGTGGAATCTCCGTGGCCTGTGCCACATACCTTGCTCTTTGCCCCTCTTCCATCTGGCTGTTCATCTGATCCTTTGTAATATTTTTTGCAATTGATGGGTAAATATTAGTAGTGTTTCCCTGAGTTCTGTGAGCTGTCCTAACAAATTATGGAATCTGAGGAGGGGATCATGGGAACCCGGATCTATAGCCAGTCAGAAGCACAGGGGGTTATGATTGGCATCTGAAGTGGGGACAGTCTTGTGGACTGAGCCCTTGACCTAGGAGATCTAACTCTAACTTCTGGTAAACAGTGTTATAAGTGAGTTAAATTATAGGAACCTCATTAGTGTCCAGTGGAGAATTGCTTGGTATATATGGAGGAGACCCCCATATATCTGGTATCAGAAGTGAAGGATTGAAACTACTGAGTGAGAGTTTAGTAGGAGAAAACCATTTGTTTTCCATTATACATGCATCATCTTTAAAATATATTATTCCCTTACAGAATATGTTAACTTAGATTGTTGGCCATTGGACAAACATCTTAGAGAATTATCAGCTTGTTCTCTAATGAGAGCCAAATGTTTATGATCTTAATCCCGATTCTACTGTTTACATGTAGCAGGCTTTGACATGCTCTTTACCCTCTTCCCATAGTATTCCCCCTTTCCTGCAGAAACATCTCCTGGGCAGATAGAAAAAGATAGAGAATAACTTTGGTTCTGAGTGGAGAATGGGATTTGGATGAAACATCTTCCTCAAGTGAAACTGGGGTACAGGGTTTTTTGCTCTGGTTTTATTCTTCCATAAAGATTTTTGAGAAAGTCTCTAATGAGAAGCCACAGGTATGAATAAGGTTTCATAAGGAACTGGCTTGCATGCTTTTTTTTTTTTTTTTTTTTTTGCACACAAAAGCTTTGCCTTCTCATAACCATTCAGCCAGTGATACTAACTGCTTTCAGATGGAATACAGGGTCAGAAAAATGCACTCTTTATAAAAAATAGCTGCCATCATACTCCAGGGACATGTAGATCATTCACTTGACATTTTCCCAGCAGAGCTGTTTCTCTATCTCTCTAGGAGACATTTTTTTTTCTCCTCTGTTGGTGAGGGGAACTCAGGTGACTTACTTAAGAAGTGGGTCAGAGAGAAAGAAGCATGCTAATCTTTATTTTGCATTCCACCTTTAACTCTAGAAGGCTAGTAGAATTTAGCACATTCTCACACTACAAGTCTAAATTTAAAGAGAGGAAATAATCTGGCTGGGATATTCACCTATTCTTTCATGTTCTTTTATAAGGAGAGGCTTATCTCAGCCTTTTTTCCTGAGCACATTCAATTTCATCGTTCTCTTCCCAGTAAAACCAGAAATTTCTTGGCAGAATGTATGGCTGGCTTATACTAATAATAATAGCAACATTCTCTCCTGCAAGTATGCTTCTGTCATTATGCTTTATAGAAGACTGGAAAAACCTGACAATTGTGGCCCAATTATAGCTTATTTCCAAATTTACAGAGGAGTGACCTTCAGGTTTACATTAAATGACTTTCAGGGTGGTGAATACTGATCATAGAGCACTTTTATATAGTACTAGGCATTAAAGATACATTTCACCTAAGTTTTTCCAAAACCAAGCGTTTTATTATAAATATGCCTTCAATTCACAAGATATGGTGCTGACAGATTATATAAATACTGACTGCATTTTGAATTCCAAGTATTACATTGAGTGGAATTTAAGCTTCAGATGGTGATTTGGATTAGATGCCCTTTAAGATTTTTTTCAGTCTTAAGTCTTACTCTTTGTGGTCACTGTATTGCTGCCAAAAGGAAAATGTGGCCAATTTAATATACTTTAAGGTCTGTGAAAATAAAAACAAGATGGAGCTATTTTTGTCTTCTATAAATCTATTCTACTGGACAATTACTTTGTAAAATAAATAGTATGTGATTGGATGTTTCATTTCTTAGCAACCTACCCTGACTAGTCTTAGTTTTACAGATAACTTCTTAAAGTTTATTTCCTTAATGTTAAATAACCCTACTTTTCATGTTTTTTTTTTTTTTAAGGTACTGTACAAGAAGCTGGAACATTATTATCCAGCAAGAATGTTCGTGTCAACTGTTTGGACGAGGTAAAATTTTAGAAGTTTAATAAAGGATTTTACTCCCTATAAGAATAGATAATATATCAAATCTGTTAATACAAGTTTTTTTTCTAGCACTTATGCTCATGTTATACTAATAATTCCTAAACAAAATATAAGCAAATAGGTTGTAAAAGACAAATAAGTATGTAAAAGTTATTTAAACTTATTAGTATTCAAATAAGTGCTAATAAAGTCAAAATCATATTATTTCTTGTCTAGCATGGGGGAAAAAATGAACTAAAAGTCCAAAGATGTAAAAGATGCTAATGGTTAAGTGTAAATCGATGTACTATTCTGTAGAAAATTTTGGAATATGTATCTATTTTAACTGCATATGTTCTTTGATCCAGCAACTTCACTTCTAGGGAAAGTTAAGTGAACCTAAACTCAATTTCCTAGAATAGTTGCTTCTAAAATACATTTTGGAAATAATGGTAACATCTGAGCGTTACAGTAGCCATTGGTCATGTGTGACCATTAAATTCTTCAAATATGGAAAGTTTAACTGAGGAAATGGATGTTTATATTTCTTCATTTTCCTTCGTTTCTTTCATTTATTAGCAGCTTTTATTGAGATATAATTAATATGCAAATAAGCTGTACATATTTAAAATGTAAAATTTATGGAGCTTTGACATATCGCTATACCTATAAAACCATCACCAAAATCAAGATAATATATCCATCACCTCAAAGGTTTCTTCATACCCTTTTGTAATCTTTCCTTCCTGCCCTTCCCCACCCACTCCTGCAGAAAACATTAATTTGCTTTTAGTCACAATATGTTAGTCTGCATTTCCAAAAAGTTTATATAAATGAAATAACACAATAAGTACTCTTTAATCTAGCATCTTTTACCTAGCATAGAGATTCACCCATGCTGTAGGATATAGTATTCCTTTTTCTTGCTGAGTAATTTTTTTATTGTTTGTGTATATCATAATCTTTTTATCTATTCAACCGCTGATAGAGTTTTTGGGTTGTTTCCAGTCTGGGGACTATTACCATAAAGCTTCTAAGAACCTTAATGTGCGAATATTGGTATGCGAATGTGTTTTTATTTCTTTTGAATGATGTATCTTTTCTTTGGGTTGTAGTTTTTATCTTTCTGTATTGGATTGTTTTTTATTGGGTGTTAGATATTGTAAATTCTGCCTTGTTGGGTGCTGTATGATTTTGTCTTTTGATAAGTACTCCTGAGCTTTTTTAAATGAACACGGTTAAGTTACTTGAAAGCAGTTTGATTATTTTAGTTCTAGTTTTTAATTTTTGTTAGGTGGTACTAGCGAAGTGCTCTGTGAAGGATTTTTTCCTGGTGCTGAACTAAGACACTTCCTTGTTCTCTGTGCAATGTTCTCAGATGCTTGAGATTTTCAAGCCTGGATGGTGGGAACAGGCACTCTTCCTGGCCCCGTGTGAGCTCTGGAAGCTGTTCCTTCTAATGCTGTCAGCTAGTTCTCTGCCCAGGCTTGGGTAGTTTCCATAAATGCTTGTGTTGATCAGTACTCCAGCCAAACACTCTGAAGAAACCCTCTGTAGATCTTTAGAATTCTCTTCCTGTGCAGGTCTCTTCTCTCTTTTACTCTTCCTGGGAACTTAAGCCAACTTGGTGACCCTGGATGCCCAACTGCATCACCTCAGTGCAGTCTGCCAGGCTCAGTCTGGATGACCTCTCTATATACTGTAACCTAGAAATCCTGTTAAGGTGATAAGCTAGGCAATTGTAGGAGCCAATTCAGTTGCTTTCCATGCCTCAGAAATCACATGTTTTGTTGCCTGACTGACTGTGTCTTGCAAATTGTTACTTTATATATTTCATGTGTTTTTCTGTTATTCTAGGAAGAAGATAACTCTGGTTCTGTTACAATATCTTGGCTGGAAGTACCAGTTTCTAATTTTGTTTAATTTTAATTAATTAGAAGTTAAAATTTAAATAGCCATATGTGGCTAGTGGCTACTATATTAGATAGCACAGTCTAGTGCTAAAATGTTACTTGAACTTCAGTTTCTCACGCAAAAGGGAAAGGGGTTCTGTTAACTCTTTACCCACATGTGGGTAGCAAAATTAATATCAGACAAAATAAAGTTTAAAGCAACATATATGAATCTTCTCTCTTATATATTAAATTAATAATCCACCAAGAACATAATAGCCTTAAGCCTTTTATTATAACCTTATCAGCTATAAACAATGAGGCTCATAAAGAAAAATATGATAGTGCGCAAAGGAGAACTCTGTGAGACCATAATAGCACCTTTTAGAAACTAACAGATTAAGTAGAAAAAAAGTAACTCAGAACAGAAAATTTGGATAACCCAATTAACAGTAAATGGACTGTATATTAGCAGAAAAAATTAGTGTATCTTCTTTTTTACACATAACATTGATAAAAATTAGTCCATGTATTATACTGTTTTGTAAAGGAAATTGTAGCTGATTTCACGCAGCTTTGCTAAATGTAGTATAATACATTTGAAAAGAAACAAAAATGTAATGCAGATAATGAAACACATATCTTGGAATTTGTTTTTTTGACTCTAAATAATGCTCATGTTAACTAAGATATAGAAATAAAAATTGCCTACTGTTTACAACTGAAAATACAACATTTATCAAAAGCTTTGCTTGGTGGCCAAAGTGATACTCAAAAGAAGTTTTGTAATGTTTATTATTCTACTCTTAATCTTTGTGGTGTTCTGAGCTTTCAATTCATGAAATTATTAAAAGAGTAAGTATACTAAAAAAAAAGAGATGATTTATAAAAAATAAAACAAATAAAAAAATTTAAAAGCAGATTAACATAAGCAACAATATGAAAAAGATAAACTGGAAATCATCAAAATTAAAAACTTTTGTGTTTCAAAGCATACCACCAAGAAAGTGAAGACAATGTACAGAATGGGAGAACAATTTTACAAATTATATCTGATAAGGGACTTGTAACTAGAAAATATTAATAACTCCTATAACTCAATAATAAAAAATTTATGACTCAATTAAAAATGAGCCAAGGATCTGGATAGACATTGCTCCAGAGAGGATACATAAATGATCAATACATAATAAAAAAAGGCTGAACATCTTTAACAATCAGGGAAATGCAAATAAAAAGCACAGTGAAATACCAGTTCATATCCACCAGGATAGTTATATTCAAAAAGGTGGTACAGCAGGTATATTAGGTAAAGAAATTGGAGCCCTCATACATTGCTGGTGGGAATGTAAATTGTGTAGCCACTTTGGAAAATAGTCTCACAGTTCTTCACATACTTAATTAAATGTGGAGTTACCATATGACCCAAAAATCCTATATAAATACTTAAGAGAAATGAAAGTATATATCCACACAAAATTTTGCATATGCAAATGCATGTTTATGACAGCATTATTCATAATAGCGCAAGGTAGAAACAACCCAAATGTTCAACTGATGAATAGTTCGACAAAATGTAGTGTAATCCTACAATGGGTATTATTCAAGATGAAAGAAATACTGATATCTGCTACAATATGTGCAAACTTTGAAAACATTAATGCTAAGTGAAAGAAATCAGTCACAAAAGACTGCGTATTTTAGGATTCCATTTATACATAATATCAAAAATAGGCGAATTCATAGGGACAGAAGGTAAATTAATGGATAACTAGGGCTGGGTAAGGGAGTCGGGGGAATGACTGCTAGTGAGTATGGAGTTTCTTTTGGGATGATGAAAATGTTCAAAAATTGATTGTGGTGATGGCTGCATAACTGTGAATATATTAAATCTGTTTATTTGTACAAATTAAGTGGGTAAGTTGTGTGGTATGTAAATTGTATTTCAATAAAACTGTTAGGAAAGAAAAAAAAACAGTAAAAATTAATCAAATTAAAACCAAAATATAGATACAACTTGGGAAGTACAAGCAAGAAAACAACATGTATAAACAGTAAGGAGAAAGGAAAAGAGAAAGGGAAGGACTTGGGAGGGAGGGAAAAAGAAAAACATAACTGCAATAATAAAGAAGATTGTCACAGCTTGTATGCCAACACATTTCAAAATCCATATGATCTTTGTAGAAGAATTAAAACGGACATATTAATCTCATGTAGAAGTAAAAAAACTGATGTGGGTGTGCTGACTTCAAGTGATTGGCAGCACTTTCGGAGGCCGAGGCTGGCAGATCACCTGAAGTCAGGAGTTCAGGACCAGCCTGGCCAACATGGTGAAACCCCATCTCTACTAAAAATACCAAAATTAGCTGAGTGTGGTGGCGGGCGCCTATAGTCCCAGCTACTCAGGATGCTGAGACAGGAAAATCGCTTGACCTCGGGAGGCAGAGGTTGCAGTGAGCCAAGATCATGCCATTGCTCTCCAGCCTGGGTGACAGAGTAAGACTCCACCTCATTTAAAAAAAAAAAAGAAGAAGAAGAAGTAGAAAAACTGTAATCAAGGAAAATGTGTGTATATATTTTGAAATCTCACCTTCAAAAGCTGCAATCCAGAGTAAGCTTTACCAAACTTTAAGGACCAGTTAATTCTCATTTTACACTAGTTATACCATTAGCTTAGAAAAAGATGGGAAGAAACTCAACTCATTTATTTAATAAGGCTGGTATAATGCTGATGCCAAATAGTAAGAAGTTCCACAAAACTATGGACCCAATTCACTTTATAAATACAGAGGCAAAAATTCTAAAAATGTTAGCAAGTTGGTCCAGCCATCTCTTAAAAGGATTATAAGACATCATAAACAAGTAAGGTTTTCCCAAGAATGTTAGGATGCTTCAGTTTCAGAAAATCTTTCAATGTAATTCACTGTATTACAGAATGAAAGAGAAACAAATAGGATCATCTCAACAGATGCTAAAATGTGTATTATAAAATTTAATAACCTTTCATGGTATAAACGAACAAATTAGGATAGAATGATTCTTCTGTAACTTGACAGGTTAGCAGAAACCTTCCACAAACATTAGCATCATACTTAATGTTCAAATAGAAGTACCAGGATCAAGACAAGAAGCTTCCTGACATGTTCCTGAAGATTGTGAGTGGGCTACAGACACACTTGGCCTCTGTGATGATCTTCAACACAGCACGTTCTGCACATTCATTCCCTTTACCTGGAGCATTCTTCCTGTAGTTAATTGCATTCCTTGCCTCCCCAACTCCTTTCAGGGCTTTGTTCAAGTGCCGCCTTCTGGAATGTCCTCTTTAAAATAATAGTCTTCTCTTTCCCTCTGACACTACTCCCCTTTACTTAATGTTATTTTCCTCTAGCACGTGGATCCCCATCCACCTAGTCATCTGTACTGTAAGTTCCAGGGACTTAGACTGGGAGGCATGGAGTTTGCTTATTGCTACCTCCAATGTATAGATCAATGCCTGACATATATTAAGCACTTATTAAATATTTGCTGAATGAATGGATGCTGCATTTAATGACATAGAATTGCAATATAATAGCCTAATTCTGATGAATTCTTTGACTTAAGAATTATGGAAGAGGACCTTTATTTTTAAGGTGATTATATCTAAAGAATTGTAGAAGCTTGTTTCTCATGCAACTCAAGTAAGCAGACTACCTGCAGGGTTATCTTTGGGAAATCACAAGGATGCGAGGATTTTTAGTCTTACGTATCATTGAATCTAAGATGCCATAGATTTAAAATTTCATCTAGATATTATTTAAATGAGAGGAGTGGAAACTGATGGTGATTTGTGAGATTTGAGTAAAGTGAAACTCAATTCTGAAGATTTTAAATATAAAAATGAGATGCATCTTAGAATTGATGAATTACAGTATAACATTTTATGAAATCACTACCTTTATAGTTTGAGTAGAGATGGACATTTATTATTTTACTATTCTCTCTGATACTAAGTTATTTCATCTTTACAACTGTAATATAACATTTTAAATTAACTTGCATCATGTATTTTGAACATGGGAATATTTTCTTGTACTTCTAGTAGATAAGCAGTATTGTTTCAAATTATTTTCTTTTCTGGATATTTCAACTATAAAAATAATAGAATAAATAGAACATTTATAGCATGGTGGTTTTATATCTCTATGGAGCATCAAAATTTATTAATATTATCTCTTTTTACTTTGCCCATGGAAAAGTTTTTATAAATAACGTGGTACTAAAACCAAGATAATGCATAGTAATAATTGCAGTCAAAATTTATAATTTCCTTTGTATTCTAAATTCTTATAACACAAAATTGTACTAAGATAGGAAAGTACATGTGATACCCTCTTTGAAAAATCAGTGTAAATTAGTTACTTATCAACTAGTTTGGTTTCTAATACCCATGACCATCTCATCTACCATAGCACTGAAATTTGACATGGGAAAATCATATACCTGCATTATAAACATGACAAAAAGAGGATGTTCAGAAATGGCACAGCAGATGATATGATTGGGATAGATATTTACCTTTTGTTGTTTATTTATTTATTTTTGAGACGGAGTCTTCCTCTGTTGCCCAGGCTGGAGTGCAGTGGTGCGATCTCAGCTCACTGCAAACTCTGCCTCCTGGGTTCAAGTGATTCTCCTGCCTCAGCCTCCCGAGTAGCTGGGACTATAGGTGCCTGCCACCATGCTTGGCTAGTTTTTGTATTTTTAATAGAGACAGAGTTCCACCATGCTGGTTAGGCTGGTCTCAAACTCCTGACTTCAAGTAATCTGTCTGCCTTGGCCTCCTAAAGTGCTGGGATTACAGGTGTGAGCCACCACACCCGGCCAGTATTTACCTTTTTGGAAAGAAACTCTCTCATTGGTTTGCTCTAAAAACCAATTTCTGCTAAGGTGACAGCTGGTAAACCAAAAAGAACAAGCAAGAAAGAGAAAAGAGACAGGGAAAATCTTTTTTTAATGAGAGGAAAGGGAGTAGTAGGAGACATGATGACACGTAAATGGGCAGAAGTGATTAACACAAATGATAGTGAAAACACAGACACACTGAAAATAAGGACAGTTGGCGATGTGAGACTCTAAAGCTTTCTGTATCTCTTTTGCTCTTAAGCAGATTATCACATTCTGTTGAAAGTTTTGTGTTTTGTTTTATTTTGTTTTGTTCTTTTAAAAAAACTTCAGAACCCTTCTGTAGACTGGAGACTATTCATTCTCAGAGCTAGAGAGCCTCTTGTAGGATTGCTGGGTGATTGACTGCCCACCTATTCTGGATAAACAGAAAAAAACTAACTTGCTAGTGAAGTCTGGATCCTAAAATCTGTAACAGAAACAGCTGTTTCCTTCTTTGTGGTGACCTTTCTGATGGTACTGTGTCCTTTCCCTGCCACCTTTCAGGCTAGACATTAGCTTCTTAAGGACAGTTATATCATCCTTTAGGAGCTATCACCCTAGTCATGCTCGCAATATGTTTTTCTCTCATTTAAAAGTTAGAGGCCATGCAGTCCATTCCTATTCCCTTAAAGCACCCCATTGGCTGGCTCTGTACAATGAGATTGGCTCACACTCACCCACCCACTTCTAACATAGTAATATTCCATCTCTATAGAAACACCCAACTAAGGGAGTGTTAAAAGTTATCATCTGCTAATCATTTTTCCATTCTTACTGTCAAGAAATGCCCATCGCTTCCACGGAGTTGCCTCTTGTGCAGCCAACTGAAAGATCCCAGCCTCTCAATCATCCCTGTCTCCACAACCCTCTGAGCGTAGTGCGTACTGTGTTAACAAGATGATGACTTATGTTTGTAGTAATAATCTGGAAGCATGAAGAATAATTCACTTTATGTTAGCATTCTAAGCTTCACTAAGGTAACAGATTATATGTTTTACAGAAGTTTTCATCCAAAACAACTTTGATATTTTGGCACTTACAGAACAGCTCATCCACTTATCTACCAAATAATAGTAGCACCTAGGACATAAAAAGTTGGATGTTTCATTGGATATGCACAAAGCCTATGGAGACAAAACAGTGTAGCCTAAATACTACCAACCATTTTGCAATATATATACAATCACATGCAATCAAATCATATGTGTGATCAAAATATATGTGTGATTTGACTAAACGATGTAGCCTAGGGTAAATACTAGGAGCCATTTCTCCATATTTATACAATGACATATAATCAAATCATAGGTATGGTCAAAATATATGTGTGATTTGGGGGATCATGGTTTTCAAAAATAATACTACTATAATGTGCATTTCCTGTACCTTTTCTTATTGACAATAATTTGTGAAAATTTTTCCAATTCAAGGCTGGGCGTGGTGGCTCATGCCTATAATCCCAGCAGTTTGGGAGGCCAAGACAAGTGGATCATCTGAGGTCAGGAGTTCGAGACCAGCCTGACCAACATGGTGAAACCCTGTTTCTTAAAAAAAAAAAAAAAAGAAAAAGAAAAATTTTCCAGTTCAGTAGATACAGGTGAAGTCATTCATTTAATATACCTTCATAATGTCCTATGTTATACATATACCATCGTTTTTTCAACCTTCCCCTTGAGAGGCATTGCTTGAGATTTTTCTTCTTTTAAAAAAATGTGTGTGTATCTGTTTGTTCATTTGCTTTCTGAGAAGGTAAGTATGTTTAGAAAATTTGGGTTTCAGTCCCTTCCCCCAACATTATTAGTCATGTGTGGTTGAGCAAGTCTTCTGTGAATCTTTTTGCTAATCTGTAAAAAAACATCTCCGGTAATAAAACCATCTCTTTTCCTCAGAAGTTTAATGAAGGTCCAAGTGTAGCAGTAAATATAAAAATACATATTATAAAGACCATCTTAATTAACTTATATTCATTTTATGTTTCACCATATTGGCCAGGCTGGTCTCAAACTCCTGACCTCGTGATCCACGTGCCTTGGCCTCCCAAAGTGCTGGGATTACAGGCGTAAGCCACCATGCCTGGCCCCTCATTTTATGTTTCTAATTGCAGAAATTGTTCATAGGTATGGAAAAGATAAAACAGTAATATTAATACTTTTTCCCTTTCTATTAAAGAATGGAATGACTCCTCTAATGCATGCAGCATATAAAGGAAAACTCGATATGTGCAAATTACTACTGCGACATGGAGCCGACGTAAATTGTCATCAGCATGAACATGGATACACAGCTCTCATGTTTGCTGCACTTTCTGGTGAAGTTTTAGTATTTACTCTATTTATAAATATTAGTTACCTATATGAACTTGTTATAAGTACATATATACTAATAGATTAAATTCATTTTTTTTAAGTATTTTAAGATCAAGTTTTATGGAAAGGAATGATGGGAATTGATTTTTGAGAAGCTACAATGTAGGAAATAAATTATATAGTTAATTTGGTGATCTGTTTCTTTTGTTATTTAAATCAATTGATTCTTTATGTGGACAACATTTTGATGGAATTGAGGAACTGGTTCTGTTTTTCTTTCAAGTTACCTCCTTTGATATTCTATATCTTTATATTTTCAAATGTATGGAAACCTCTTTGTTCCCTTTATCAAACAGATTCTGTGATAGAACTATCTGTTTACCTCACTGGCATTTACATACTAAATATGATGAGCCATTTAGAAACTTACTCTGATTTGTATCATTTATTATTTGCTGAATAAAGACAATTTAGAAATACTGTCTAAAATTAAATGGGGTTATCTGTAATTGGTACAGCTCTTTGAAAAATACAGAAGTAATATAATATCCTTGTACTTTGAATATAATAATCTGTATTTTCATAATTCTGGAACCTAGAAGCATTTCTAAGTATTATATAAAACATAGAAGCCTAAAAGGACAATTTTGACCAATTTAATTACACAAAAATTTAACATTTTCATTGGTAGAATATACCATAAATAGTTAAAATACAAATGAAAAACTAAAAATATTTATTTTATGTCTTAAAGGATTCTATTGTTAAATATAAAAAGTTCTTTTAGCCGGCCACAGTGGCTCACACCTGTAATCCCAGCACTTTGGGAAACCAAGGTGGGCAGATTGCTTGAGTCCAGGAGTTCAGGATCATCCTGGGCAACATGGTGAGACCCCATCTCTCCCAAAAATACAAATATTAGCTAGGCATTATGGTGCACATCTGCAGTTTCAGCTACTTAGAAGGCTGAGGCAGGAGGATTTTTGAGCCTGGGAGGCAGAGGTTGCAGTGAGCCAATATCATGCCCCTGGACTCCCGCCTGGGTGACAGAGTGAGACTCTGTTGCCCCATCTTATAAGAAAGAAAGAGTTCTTATAAATCAGTAATAAAAAGAAAAATACGCAGTAGAAAATTGGACAGGAAACAAAAGAAATACAATCAGCTGATCATAAAAACATTTTCCACAGTAATCAAAGAAATGCCAATCAGAACAATAAATTATTTTTTAGCTTATTATACTGGCAAATGCTAAGAAAGAGCTATAAGGCTCAGGAACTTCTTTACACTATGTTGGGCAGTACCTGTCACTCCAGCCTTGCTGGGTGGCAGCCTGGCAAAATGCATTTAAAATATGCGTAATATTTGATCTAGTAGTATTTCCCAGGAACTGTTCCTAAGGAAATCGTAATTCAAACTTGTGAAAATGAATGGAAAATACTTTTCACTGAGTGTAGTTCTTAATAGCAAAATACCCGTAATGACTATGTTAGTAGACGAATGTGAATAGAATAACATGTGTATCTTTAGATAGAAAAAGGGTGTAGAAAGATAGATTCCCCAATGGCTTATAGTTATTCCAGAGCCAGCAGGGTATGAGGAATGGGAAGGGTAGTTGATATTAAAGGGGAATCATATTTATTGTATCTCTTTTTAAAAATTTTTTGGTATGTGTATTTTGATTTCATACTAAGTGTTACCTCTAGGAAAACATACTTCATTTTGCTTAAAAAAGCGATATTCAATTCCGTACTGCTTTTTGTATTGCTTGATTTGTTTTCCAGAAAATAAGGCTTAATTTCTAAGTAGGTTCTGTAGCATCTTATTCTTTACTGTAATTATGATTCATGTTTTAAAAGAAAATGAAAATATCTACCTGGCAGAAACCTAGGGGAAGACAGGGAACAGAGAGTTTAGAAGGGGATGTTTAAATTGTGTCCACCTTAACATTAACAGATAGGTTTCCTTTAAAACTCTAGGTAATAAAGACATCACATGGGTAATGTTGGAAGCTGGTGCAGACACAGATGTTGTCAACTCCGTGGGAAGAACAGCAGCTCAGATGGCAGCCTTTGTGGGTGAGATTTTGCTGCAATTTTACATTAGATTATACCCCAAATTTCTCTTGTGGGAAAAAAACCACTTTGCTTCTCATGGTGAAAATATTATCGTGTTGCTTTTAAAAAACTAAGTACAGTCCACTGTAACTTAATGAAACACCTGGTGACTTTTTGGAGAAAACAAACAGCTATTTTGAATTTCTACTTTTTGGAATACAGAGAGTAGTGGGGCCATTTTAATTGCACACAAATGCTTATAACATGTATATTTTATGTCTCTAATAGAAGTAGCTAAACCTAATGTTTGAGAATATGAACAGTGAAGTCAGTAATCTCAAGTTAAATTTTGGCTGTGCTATGTAATAACAAAGTACTTAATAATTCTGACCTTCACCTTCCTCATGGTAAAATGTTACACGGTTATTGTGAGGCTTAAAAGAGGTGATAGACCTGAGCTTTCCATGTAACACTAAATAAATGTCATTAGTTACTGTTGTTAGTAATTATTACAACAGTGACATAACTCTTAGGATTCCTAAGAGTGATTGATTGTAATGTACAACTACTTCATTATCATTTTCATCAACCACAGACATTTGTGTGCCCAATAATTCTTGGCATGTTAATCCACTTATTTGACAAAATGTAAGGAAAGAGTGGGAGTGAATTCTTGATCTTTGGTATTTTGAGGCCATTGAATTGATGGTGAAGAGAATCCGTTGAGAGAAAAGCAAAGATAGCAACATGTGATTTATTGGAAATGCCATAAATGGCCTTATAGGGACTAATAATTCATTAAATAAATAGTGTTCACAATCTATAAAGCAAGCATCACTGTAAGTGTCTTGGTTATAGTGATAACAAGACAGAGGCTGTTCATGCTTTCATGGCACTTAGAGGGTAATAGCAATGACAAACGGTGCGAAAATACATACTCCAAGGTAGAACTTAAGAGCTCCATAAATTTACATAGGAGAGGAGGATCTATCCCATTCAAGGGGGTTTTGAGAGAAGTCAAGCTCAGATACAGTGGAAATTAGGATGGAGAATGGTAACCGAATATTATGTTAAATTTTATGACATTTTCTTGAAACTACTAGTAGTAGCTGCCATTGATTAAGCCAGACACTCAGTGCCTTATGACAGCTTTTTCTGTTAGAAGAAATTTTCTTATTTTAATTTCAGGATTTGAGAAAAGTGTGGCCTTGTGTAAGCTTCAGAGAAATCTTTTAACTCCCATACATACGGGCCCCAAGTTGCCCCCAGCTCAGTTCTAAGCTAATTTTGATGGTGTCACTGGGGAAAAGAACACTAAGGTAGGAATCTGGAGACTTGAACTTTAGTTCATGTATACTGATAATTAGTTACAGGATCATGGGGCAAATTCATTTACCTCCATAGGCCTCAGTTTTCTAATCTGTATACAAAGAAGCAGGGTAATTAAGTGATCTCTGAATTTCTATTTAACTGTACAAGTTTTTATTATATCCACAATGTAACAAAATAGGGCTCAGACAGAGGTAAAATAATTATCCCAAGACCACAGGTCTGGAAACAGAGGAGTCTCTTGTTTCAGGCATTAATATGATACTCCTTGCTTTTTCTTAACACTGTAATACTAACAAAATTCTCACTAAGGTAGAAATTGTTTATAATCCCATCCTAAGATAAGAGTAATGTTTTCATTCCATTTTAATCTATTTAGACTAATTTCACAGACAGAAAATTACATTGCACCCTTCCAGTTGTTACTGTATTTTCCAAATAATTAGCCTTTAAAAAAGTTCATTCTCTTCTTTTTGTTTCCTTGAAGTGGATCAGTATGTATACATGTGTACATACATATATAAGGTTTTTGTCATTCTTTAAAAATGCCATCCATCACACAGCAGGTATTGTGTTGTGTTTTTCACTTACTAATACATCATGGAAGTTCCTCCCATCTCAGTAGGTATAATTCATTTCCTTCAACAGCTACATGATATTCCATGATATAGGTGTTCCACAGTTCAGTTAGCTCTCCCTTATTGACATATTTTACAATTTTTAACCACTTTTCTACAAATAATGTAATATTCATCCCTGATCTTATATTTTTTACAAGTTAGTACCTGAATATTTTTTACATGTTAGAACTTTAATATATCTAAGCATTTTCTAGAAGTAAAATTGCTGAGACAAAGGATATAGAGTTTTAATTTTAATGTAAGTCTAGATTCCTTTCCAAAAGGGCATAGTAATTCACAGTAGTGTCCTCATCAGAGCTGGGTATTACCGTACTTTGATTTTTGCCAGTCTGATAGTTAAAAAGATGGCATATTGTGAATTTACTTTCCCCTTATTATTAATGAAATTAAGCACTTCTGTTGTTAGTAATTTGTATTTTCTCTTCTGTGAATTACCCGCTTGTACTCTTTATTCATTTTTTGGGGGATGCCCTTTTTTTAAATTGCTTTGAAGAGCTTTATACACACAAATCTATTATCTAACAAATGTGTTCCAAGTATTTTATGTCAGTCTTTTTTATTCTTTCTCCTATTCCTCTCCTTCTTCTTCCTTCTCCACCTCTTCTTTCTTCTTCCTTCTTCTTCTTTTTTAACTTTATGGAGACCTTTGCCATAGGAAATTTATTTGTTTATTTATTTATTATTATTATTATTATTATTATTATTATTTTGAGATGGTGTCTCACTCTGTCATCCAGGCTGGAGTGCAGTGGCATGATCTCAGCTCACTGCAATCTCCACCTCCTGGGTTCAGGTGATTCTCCTGCCTCAGCCTCCCATGTAGCTGGGACTACAGGCATGTGCCACCACGCCCAGCTGATTTTTGTATTTTTAGGGGAGATGGAGTTTCGCCATGTTGTCCAGGCTGGTCTTGAACTCCTGACCTCAGGTGATCCTCCTGCCTCCCAAAGTGCTAGGATTATAGGCATGATCCACCATGCCTGGCAGGATATTTATTTTTAAGTAGTTATATATTTTCTTTTATAGCTTCTGTGTTTATTTTCTTGCTAAAAGTGGGGCACTTGACCAGGAGTTATGTAAGTATTCTCCTAAATATCCTTCAGCTATTTTTTATGATTTTTTCTGGTACCTCTAGAATTTATTTTTTTAGAGTTTATTTCCCCCCCACCCCCGATAACATAGCTAATTGTGATGGCACCATTTATTACACCAGCTAACATTTTCTCACTAAATTGAAATACCACCTTTGTGGTAAGTTAAGTTCTCTTTTACTAAATGATAATGTGATTATTTGCAGAGAATTAACATTTGTATGATGTTAGGACTTCCCATCCAGTTACACAGTATACCTTTACATTTCTTTTTGGGGAGGAGACTGACATTTGCTCCTTCAATAGTATATAATAGGTTTCTTTATATCTTTTCTTTCAAAATTTGTTTCTTAGTAATTTGTGGTTATTGTCTATATGGTAAGAATTTGCACTGTCACCTCCATACTCAGTCACTTCTTTTTTTTTTTTTTTTTTTTTTTTTTTTTTTTTTTTTTTTTGAGACGGAGTTTCGCCCTTGTTACCCAGGCTGGAGTGCAATGGCGCGATCTCGGCTCACCGCAACCTCCGCCTCCTGGGTTCATGCAATTCTCCTGCCTCAGCCTCCTGAGTAGCTGGGATTACAGGCACGTGCCACCATGCCCAGCTAATTGTTTGCACTTTTAGTAGAGACGGGGTTTCACCATGTTGACCAGGATGGTCTCGATCTCTCGACCTCATGATCCACCCGCCTCGGCCTCCCAAAGTGCTGGGATTACAGGCTTGAGCCACCGCGCCCGGCCATACTCAGTCACTTCTATTGGTAATGGTTAAAAATGAGAAAAGCTATTAATTTCTAGCTATTAAATTTTATTTTGTTTTCTATTTGAATTTGCTTGGGGCTTCAAAGTAAGAAGGAATAATAGTGATAATTGACATGCCTTTTTCCTGCTTTTAATGAAAATATTTTTAGCTTTTCACTTTTAATATGATATTGCTATTGGTTTTATCATTGTATAATATCACTCCTTTTCTTGTCAAATTCTTTTAGTTCTACTTTTAATGGTATTACAGCTATTCCTGATTCCTTTTTTTGAAAATAATCTCTTTGCCCATCTGTCATTTTCAATCTTTATCATTTCATTTAAGTAGTATAACTTATTTTTTTATTTTTATTTTTCCCTGTTGATTTGCAAAAGTAGTGTAACTTAAAAACATATAGGTGAGTTCTGTTTTATAATCCAAAATGATAGTTCTCCTCTCTTAATAGGTATTTAGCTTATATATATTTAATGTAATTACTGATATATGTGGTTGCATTCCTCCTCTTTTACCTCATTTTTATTCTTTATTTTACTTGACTATTGTTTTGCATGTGTGTGTGTGCATAGGCGCATGCATGTATTTCCTTAAAGGGTACAGTACCACATCCCCCATCCTCAAGGCCCCATATTTATCCATTTAGCAACTTTATAAGATGAAATCCTTATACATCATTCATTTCTCCACATTCTCTGTTTTTTGCCTTGTCAGGCCTCAGGTCTTTACTTTCTGCCCGCTCTGATACTTCCTCAAAACCCATGCCAGTCATACCTGTAGCTGTGGACTTTGCTGAGAGAGTCTAGTATTTTTAGTACCAGAATGAGAGTGAGGTTGACAGTGTGTTACTTCTCTTGCAGTAATCCACACCACTGACTGTATGATTTGCCTGTCATCTATCTTCACCTACTCATGTGAACTCTCTCTCTTACTGTCCTCTCTCTCCTCCCCTTTGTCTCCATTTGTCTTTAGATCTCTGTTCTCATTTAGATTTTGGTTATAAGACCTTTTCAAATGGGTTATGTAGGTTGTGTATTCTTTGAAACCCATCATGACAGAGCTATTAATACCTTTCTCTCTGAAATGTGATTCATATTTTGCCTAGCTTTCTGACTCATATCACAGTTCTTTTCTCTCAGACATATAGAAGTTATTCTACAGCTTTGTAAGTTCTGGTTTTGCAAATGAGAATTCAACTTACTTTCCATTGTAAATTTTATATTTCTCACTCTGGAAGAGGGTTTGAATTTTAGGTTATCTTTGAAAGTAAAAAATTTGATTAGGATCTATCTTGTTGTATATGTGTGTACCTATTAATTACACTCAATGAGTCCTTTAAGGCTAGCAGACTCAAGTCTAGGGACTGTAATATGGGAGCAAAATGATATATACTGGCTTTTCTACCCACAGAATTTATTTTCTATATTAATAATATTATTTTATTTATATATATTCAGAATTTATAAATTTAAAACCAGTAAAATTAAATATTTAAAATTTTCAATTACAAAAATGTAAACCTAAATAGTCAAGTATTTACAAGGAAAAACTTTAAACATATTCAAATATGTTATTAGCAGATTAATTAAAATAAAATATCAAAATAAGCACTAACTAAAATGAAAAAACTTAATCAGGAAAAAAGGTAAAGTAATACTATTTTTTCTTTTCAAAAAGGTATAATTAGGCTGGGCGCAGTGGTTTATGCCTGTAATCCCAGCACTTTGGGAGGCCATGGTGGGCGAATCACCTGAGGTCAGGAGTTCAAGACCAGCCTGATCAGCATGGAGAAACCCTGTCTCTACTAAAAAATATAAAATTAGCTGGGCATGGTAGCACATGCCTGTAATCCCAGCTACTTAGATGACTGAGGCAGGAAAATTGCTTGAACCCAGGAGCTGGAGGTTGCGGTGAGCCAAAATCATGCCATTGCACTCCAGCCTGGATAGCAAGATGAAACTCCATCTCCAAAAAAAAAAAGGTATAATTAAGAAATCCCTAGTCTTGTGACAGTATCTTCATTATCTTGCAATTATTTTTATGTACAAATATTCCTAACTGCTCCCTGCTTTTCCTGACTGTACTAGTTGAAGACCTGATGAGAAGATATAAGCTAATTCCATATTTTCCTCTGACCCCATTATCATCAAGTTTTCCTATGTCTGGTTTAATACTTTTAATGAGATAGTTTAGAAATATTTTTTTTAGTGTGATCACCTACCTTTTTATTGAAACTGGATGTAGATTTTGTTTTAAGGAAGCATATAGCATATACAGTTTGTCTTCATCTTCTCTGGTTTCTTCATATACAGTTGTAAATTTCCCAACAGTTACCCATGTGGATTTTGATGCTGTGTTCATAACCCACTTGCATTAGATTTGCTTAGTTGAATGTCATTTTTCTCTCTTCTTGAAGATTCTGGAAGGAGAGGTGATCATTTTTTAAGCAGAGCACCCTGGCTCATTTTACATTTTTAATAGAGACTGCTACTGTTTGACTTCTCAAGACATATTTAATGGGGAAAGAAATAAAAGAAATACCCACCTCTCCCAATCCCTGCAAAAAGAAAGAAATTGGGTGTTCTGGTACTTAACAATAGCATAGAGTACCAAAAATGGTATCGTGATCACTGCTAAATTCTCTTTTCAAATCAGGCAAGTTTTCTTTTATCATTTGTTCGATTCTCCATCTATTCCTTTTTTTTTTTTTTGAGATTTCTATTATTTTTCACAATTAGATTTCCTGTATTTGTTCTTTAGCTCTTTTATCTCTTGCATAATGATTTCCATATCTGAATTTTTCTGTTTTGAGATATTTCATCCACTTGATCTTCTTTTTTTTGTTTGTTCTGTTGAGACAGAATGTCTTTTACCAAGACTGGAATGCAGTGGTGTGATCAAAAGTCACTGAAGCCTTGGGTGGGCATGGTGGCTCATGCCTGTAATCCCAGCACTTTGGGAGGCTAAGGCGGGCAGTCGTGTGAAGTCAGGAGTTTCAGACCAGCTTGGCCAATATGGTGAAACCCCGTGTGAAAATACAAAATAAATTAGCCAGGCGTAGTGGCACACACCTGTAGTCCCAGCTACTTGTGAGGCTAAGGCAGGAGAATTGCTTTGAACCCAGGAGGTGGTGATTGCAGTGAGTCAAGATTGTGCCACTGCACTCCAGCCTGGACAACAGTTTCTGTCTTCTATCTTCTGTCTCACCAAAAAAAAAAGAAAAAAAAAAAACTTACTTTAGCCTCCAACTCCTGGTCCCAAGCAATCTCCTGCCTTAGTCTCCCAAGTAGCTGGGACTACAGGCACACACCACTGCACCCAGCTAATTTTTAAAATTATTTGTAGGGACGGGTTTTGCTATGTCGCCTAGGCTGGTCTGCACTTCCCGTGCTCAAGCAATCCTTCTTCCTCAGCCTCCCCAAGTGCTGGGATTACAGGAATGAGCCACCACGCCTGGCCCTGATATCCTCTGTATTACTAATTTAGTTCTCAGTAGTAACCAGGATCACCAATTTCAGTTTGCCTGTTAATTTTTAAAATTTGAATCTCTCTGTGGCTCTTGAAAGTATATTTATATATTGTAATTGAATCTGCTTAATTTAATTGCTCTTATTAGTTGTAGTTGTGGTGGTTATTGTTATGGTAAATGTTATCCATATACTTCCAACCCAAGAAGCTCTCTGTTGGGGACACTGCATAGTTTTCAGAGTTGCTGGGTTCCCTTAGTTACCTTGGTCTGTACCTCCCAGGCAGTCAGGTAAAACTGATAGGGTCCTGGAGCAATGGAAGAAGAAAGTTTCATGTCTCTGTACCTGTGGGCCCAGGTCAGCAAATCACCTCAGGCACGGGATGAAGTTCGCCACTCCCAGGTTCTCCCAGGAACTTTAAAGGACAAGCAGAGCCCTCACCCAACCTCAGGCACCAGGATCCAACCGGCCCACATTACAGTCCCCATGCAGGTTACCTGTTGTTGGCAGGATCAAGCAGATGCTCCCCAGACCAAGCACAAGTGGATAGGGGCCATGCAGGCTGCCCAGGGTGGACCATTCTCTGGGCGCGGGGGCCATGGCATCTGGGCGCTCTCCCCAGGACTCACCTCCACTGGTCCCCCGGCCCCCATCAGGCAGAGAGGAGGACTAAGTCTCTCCTCCAGAGACCCCTGAAGAGTTTGTGCCCTCCCGTGTGCTCTGTGGTTCTGCCTGCTTGCCCAGAGAGACCACTGCCTTGCTCCCTCAGAGAGGTAGTAGAGAGGGAGCTAGGGAGGGGAGGCTGCAGGAGCACGTTTGCAGTCTGCTTTCACTGAACCATTTTTAACTGGAGATGGCTTAGAGAAGGACCTTGGAATTCTATGCAGAGTCACAATGTGGATGCCAAGCTTATGGGAGCAAAAGGCTTTTCTCTACTTCATTTCATAAAGAGGCCAAGCTTTTCTCAAATTTAGGGGGATAGGAGGTATGGGGAAGAAGGATTTAGTTTAATATTAGTTGTTATTATAATAAGAATGATGCTTTATATGGAGTAAATTTAAATGATGTATAAATACAACCAGAGGTGATTAGGGAAATGTGAGCATCATTTGTGTAGGGTTGAAAGAAGAGCGTTTAACTTATAAGCAACTGTTATAAAATACTTAGGGTCACTTACAAGTTGAGCAGTACTCTCTTTTGTAATCCATATAATCTTCATATGTATTTTGCATTCTGTGTTTTGAAAAGATTGTTTCTCAACTTTATAAGGAATGTTTATGAATGTTCTCTAAAATATTTTACCCCTCCTCCTCCTCCTGTAGTCTCCTTTCCTGAAAAATAAACATATTGATGCATGTTGACATGACAAATATAGCAACATAATTAATTTTTTAATCCAGATCTGTTATTTTTAATACTAAAACTACAACTTTTGTGTTTTTCTATGAAAAGGTCAACATGATTGTGTGACCATAATCAACAATTTCTTTCCTCGAGAGAGACTGGATTACTACACTAAGCCCCAGGGACTGGATAAAGAGCCAAAACTGCCCCCAAAGTTGGCAGGCCCGCTGCACAAAATTATCACCACAACGAATCTTCACCCTGTCAAGGTAACATGCTGTCTACTGCATTTGCCTTATATGTAAATATTGCTTTGGAGTTTAAACTGCTTTTATTATACAAGATCATAATTATCTTGGGTTGAGTTTTGTAGATGTAGAACTTGCAGTGGGCTCCTTTGGCCTGTTGATTTATTGAAGGAGCGCTCTCCGTTGAAACCTGGAAGCGAGCAAGCAAGAGAGAAACAGACTAAAGCGTCAGGAAAGGCCACCCCAAGAGATGGGTTTGCTGAAGACTGGCTTCCACCTCATCCCACTGGGAGCTCTGGAGTGTGAGTGGCTCCAGAGAGGGAAGGGAGTCTAGCTTTTGTATTCGTCAGTCTGTTGTTGGCTGAGGCCTGTCACCAGAGGGAAAGGACAGCCTCCTGGATAGTACCAACCGAGGTGGCTCCCTTTCATTGAGGGCAGTCCTCTGGAGAAAAGACCGCAGTAGCTGATCCTCAGAGCCCTTGGGGTCTGGTGTACAGGCCTGGTAAGGAGGATGTAGGTGGGGCACTAACTGCATCTATTCCAATAATTGTCTTTCTAAGAAAGATTCTGAAATGTAATCGTGAGCACGTTTTTAAGGTAAGTGACGATTTGATGCCTTTAAGTAACATAGCTCTTCCAGTAATTCTCCAATCAAACAGATTTTCAAACTTCTAGAACAACACATAAGTTCAAATGGCTTAACTGAGAAACTTCAAGAGCTATTCTGAAATATTTCACTGCTATTTTCTTCTAGATTTTAAAAATACAGACTTCTGCTGTTGTTGTTTACAGCATAATTTAAAAAAATACATCCAGCTAAATGAGTATAATTTCCTCAGTAATCCTCACAGAAAATTACACAGTTACATGTATGGTACAGTGATGAGGTCCTATTTCAATTTCAGTTATCTATTACATGCTTTTACTCATAGTGTAAAGATTTGATAGTAGTTCAGAGCTGTTTAAGTGAGCAAAATAGTAAGCTGGGTCAAAAGTTGAGGTTCTTCCTTAATAAAAGGTGTTACTGTCATGTAGTAAAATAGATTTCCCCAGAAGTTTATTACAAAAGAATAATCTGTGAAGTCTACTGGGTATCATGAAAATGAGTGGACAGTTCTTATAAGGTGACTCTTTTGAAGACTGACACTCATTCAAAGATATAAGATCCAAAATGTGTATAATCTTATTACTTTGCATCCCTGTGCATCTTTCTTGAGTATTTGAAGGTTGAGAAACAAACTAAATTTACTCATTGTGTGGTCCTCCACCCAAATTAATTTTCTAGGCCTTTAAGAAAGATGACAAACTAGTAGATACCTTTCCCCTCAGACGGAAGAGTGAAATCGGCTATTTTTATTTTAGAAAACTCAGAGTTTTTCTTAACATTCTGGAAGAAGTGCCAGAGGCAACACTTGTGATACTAAGTGGGCAAATTCAGCTGTGACTCTCATGCTCATGTGTCTAGTGGAGATTACAGGGGACTAAGAATTTACGCTTTACAAAATATTTATCCTCTTCTGTGTTATTGGTTCTCTCCCTCCCAGCACACCTAGGGAAGAGAACTCCCTAGAGAAGCACTGACTCCTGTCCATGGCACTCTCTCAGGCATGGACTGGCTGGGATGGACAGACAAGTTTCTGTCAGGGTACAATATTTCTCAGTGTAGAGAATGTATGTTGTTTTATACATCCCTTGTCCCTCCCCTGCCTGAGCGCTACAGGATATTCTGACTTTGATTTAAAGAAGTTCCCTGTATTTTTCTGATTCACTGTCTTTCATATTTATGTTTCTACTCCTACAGATTGCAGTAAGAGTTTGTGGACTTTTTTTTTTTTTTTTCTTAATAGAATCTGGCTCTGTCTACCAGGCTGGAGTGCAGTGGTGCGAATCTTGGCTCACTGTAGCCTGTCTTCCAGGTTCAGGCAATTCTGCTGCCTCAACCTCCTGAGTAGCTGGGATTACAGGCACCTGCCTCCATGTCTGGCAATTTTTTTTTTTTTTTTTTTTTTTTTTTTTTGGAGATAGAGTCTTGCTCTGTCGCCCAGACTGAAGTGCAGAGGTGCAAATCTCAGCTCACTACAACCTCTGCCTCCTAGGTTCAAGCGATTCTCCTGCCTCAGCCTCTCGAGTAGCTGGGATTACAGGTGCCCACCACCACATCCGGCTAACTTTTGTAATTTTTTTTTTTTTTTAGTAGAAATGGGGGCTTCACTATGTTGGCCAGGCTGGTCTCTAATTCCTGACCTCAGATGATCCCCCCACCTCAACCTCCCAAACTGCTAGGATTACAGAAGTGAGCCACCACACATGGCCACCTGGCTAATTTTTGTATTTTTGGTAAAGACAGGGTTTTACCATGTTGACCAGGCTTGTGGAATAATTTTAAATGTTAACTTGGAACCCAGTCTCTCAGGGTTAAATGTCCTAATAATTATTAATGCTCTACCTTCAGTTATCTTTGCAGGCATATATTTTAAGTAAATTAGATTGAGGGCATATTTATTCAGGCAATAATTAGTAAAGTTATATAGTGTGAAATAGACTATGTAATATTTTTTAGAGTATAAAGGGGGCTATCCTATTATATACCTTCCTCCATACCAGACCTCGCTTTTTGTAGATATAAACAATCTATTCACTTGAAACCCTTTCTTTCTTTTATCTATAAAAGAAAATGTAAAAGCCACCCAGTTGCTTTTTTTGTTGCGGCCCATTTTTATTGCTCTGCCCCTTTTTAAGCTAGCATGGCTTTTCCTATGGAGTATTATTTTTAAAATAATAACTACTGTATAATGTCAAACAGTTTTTAAAACAAGCTCAGAAATTCTCCCCAATACTCACCTCACTTTTCATTACAGTGCACCTAACATAGCTATATTTGTGTCTAGGTTAAGTGGCTGCTAAGCAGTAAGGATGCGTTTGTTTTCAAAAGGGACTGGGAGGATTGTGCTGATGCCCAGAATATGAAGGTTATTTAGGAGAAAAACAAACTCACTGAAGAAAATGTCAGCAGAGCAGGGTCTCTACATGGACAGGAGGCAGATGTGCACAGAGCAATTCTATCTTTGATTATTGTGATTTTTCAAGCCCAGTATTGTAGCTTTGGCGATGTTTTTAAAATTGGGATTTATAAATGAAAAAGAATTCAAAATGCCACTGCATAAACATATTCTTAGGCAGCAATCCTTTGAATGGTAAGATTTATTTAGTTTTTAATGCCAATAGAAATATATTTGTTTACTCCTCCTCATTCATTAATAAAAAGGATTTCCTTTGTAATGTATTACTTCATAATGCTGCAGAGATTAAGGAAGGAAACAAGTACAATAGTATTCTTTTGTTTGCGGCTATGTAATTGTTTCAATAAGCTTATGGTGGCCGAGCGCAGTGGCTCACACATGTAATCCCAGCACTTTGGGAGGCCAAGGCAGATGGATCATGGGGTCAGGAAATCAAGACATCTTGGCTAACATGGAGAAACCCCGACTCTACTAAAAATGTAAAAAGTTAGCCAGGCATGATGGCACATACCTGTAGTCTCAGCTACTCAGGAGACTGAGGCAGGAGAATCACTTGAACCCAGGGGGTGGATGTTGCAGTGAGCTGAGACTGCACCATTGCACTCCAGCCTGGGCAACAGAGTGATGCTCTGTCTCAATAAATAAATAAATAAATAAATAAAGTTCATGGTAATGATGTGGTTGTCATTTTTCTTGGTGGGTATTTGTGCTGTATATTAAAACATAGATAAGGTCTAATGTCTCCAATCAAAAAATTATTAATCTGAGTTCTGTTGGAAATTTTTAAAAAGAATTCTCAGTTGTAAGTTTAAGATTTTATAGTTGATTATAAATGCCATATATAAAAATACTGATCAAACAACTTTAAGTGATTCCAATTAGCAGAAGTCTAAAGCAGATAATTAATGATTCTTTTCTTCTCCACCATAAATTAATTGTCAATGTATGTTTTGGTAGAGAGAATTAGCAACAAATTTACCAATGGGGATTCCGATTATACTTACTTCATTAAGTCTAATAATTTATTATTAAGTGTTGGATTTTTGTAAAACACCAGATTGCGAGGCGGGTGGATCACGAGGTCAAGAGATCGAGACCATCCTGGTCAACATGGTGAAACCCCGTCTCTACTAAAAATACAAAAAAATTAGCTGGGCATGGTGGTGCACGCCTGTAGTCCCAGCTACTAGGGAGGCTGAGGCAGGAGAATTGCTTGAACCCAGGAGGCGGAGGTTGCGGTGAGCCGAGATCGTGCCATTGCACTCCAGCCTGGGTAACAAGAGCGAAACCCCGTCTCAAAAAAACAAAAAAAAAACAAAAAAAACACACCAGATTGTATATATAAATCTAATAATGTCAAAAAGCGAAAATCTTTTAATTTCACAAGGACATTTTATCTGTGTTAAAATTCTAATTGGAGGGCTAGCTATGGGCTTTACCAATAGATGATCTTTTTTTGTCCCTAAAGAAAGGAGTCTAATTCAAGAAATCTACCTGTTGTTCCCTGACATGTACAGTTCCTGGAATATTGATTTAGCTGTAACAGGTAGATTAGCAAGTACTGACTGGCTGTCTGCTCTGCACATACAGTTGTGTCCCTGTTACATATGTTGTGGTCTTTCAGCTCCTTAGTTCAGCTAGATCCAAGTTCTTGTCTCATAACCAGGAAGAATTAGGTATATGTACACTGGAGAGTGAATGGAATAGAGTTGTTTAAGTGAAAAGAAAGCTCTCAGCAAAGAGGGGATGCAGCAGGGTGGTTCCCCTACCCCAAAACAGGAAAGTGCCCTGTGTTCCTGGGTCCAGGTCCTTTTATGGACTCAGAATGAGGAGTGCATGCTGATTTGTTTGTGAATATGCAAAAAAGGTTAAAGCAAAGACACCACTCATTGGGGGGCACAGCAGTGTAGAAAACCAGTTAGGAAAGGGTAGGTGTATGTAAAATAGGTGGAGGGTGTGAATCAATCAGAAGAGATTGAGCCAAACAGGAAGACAAGTTCTTGATCTGGTTCGAGAATTTAATTTGTAACTTGGCTTTCAGGCTTTAAACTCTCTCTGGCTTAGAAGTAGAATTTCACTGGGGATCCAGTCCTATCTGCCTAGGCATTTGTCTGCCTGCTGCCATTCTCACATTCATGTTTATGTTACTGTATGCCACCATGGATGTTTGCAGCAGTCCTATGCAGACCTACTTCAAATAATCTACCCTACAACAAAGCTAATACAAAAATACTCCATATTACACTAAATTGAGCTTAATCTGTGCATGCATAGGAAATGTGGGACTCATAATGTATAAGATTTGGTAATTCTAATAGTTCCCCTTTGAAGTTATTTATGGTTTCCTCTTTGACCTATTCTCATTACTGTAGATGATTGGAAGCATCATCAGGAAAATTTCCACAGGGAAGTGTAGTTAATTGGAAAGTAAAACACATTTCACTTTTAGACTTCATGCTAAAAAAAAAAAAAAAAAAAATCTCATTTCCTTATGCTTAATAAGAATTAATGAGAATTGTAGTTCTCCCAGCCATGAAATTGTAGAGCTGAGTAGTGTTAACTAAAAGTGGTTATTGCTCAATGATTTGATTCTTTATGTAAAATGTACAAATTTGCCATGTTTATCTTTAGTAAAAGTGCATTTAACGGAGACTGTAAAATCATGTACTCTTGAGGGCATACTTGCACTCTGGCTTAAGTAGATGCTGATTGCTTTGTGAGTATGAAAAAAAGGTTAAAGCAAAGACACCACTCAATGGATCACATTATAACTTTGATATACAGAGTTCAAGAGATTCCACTATTTTAGGATCTTTCTATATTAGTTCTATAAGTTTGGTCAGGGGTAATTTGCATTCTAACAAATAACATAAAAACTTTATGATCCTAGGGAAGACTTTGTTTGGTAATCTTTTGAAATCAACTAAATGGACTCCCTAATTTGTACATGGAAAAGTCTCTCCTTTTTAATACCCGAGTGTACTGGGATTTCCTCTAGATCGTGATGCTTATAAATGAGAATCCTCTGCTGACAGAAGAAGCAGCCCTTAATAAATGCTACAGAGTGATGGATTTGATTTGTGAGAAATGTATGAAGCAAAGAGACATGAATGAAGTATTGGCTATGAAAATGCATTACATAAGCTGTATCTTTCAGAAATGCATTAACTTCTTAAAAGGTGGAGAGAATAAACTGGACACCTTGATCAAAAGGTACTCATTTTACTATGTCATTTATAAAATACACTCGAGTAAATATAGTTTTTTTTATAGGAAGCCTCATTATTATGGGTTTCAATATTAAACATTTTGGCACCAATTGCTATTGTTGTAATCACATTTAGTCTTTGGCAAACAGAGAATAATATTATAGTTACATTGAGTGATTATTCAGTTCTGTGTCCTTTACTGTGATGTTTTTATTGTTACTAGCAATTTACAGATGAGGAATCTGAGGTGTGGAGAGGTTAAATAGCATGTGTAAGATCACACAGCAAGAAAGTGGCACATGTCCAAATTTGAGAATATTTCATGCCCTAGGTTGCAACTCTAGATTTATAATGGCATCCAGGTGTCTCTGTGACTGTACCTTGGAGAGCTGTGTGTTCTGCTTGTTCTCTGACCAACAGAGATTAAATTCTCTTGCATCCTTACCTAGAAAAGGGAACTAAGTCTGAAGGGTGTGGCTCTATGAGAATTTTTATTCTTAGTACAAATAACTGACATAGTAATAAGTAGCTAGCTAATCTGATAACAATGTTTAGCATGTTTTATGGTGGTAGTCACCTTTGCATATTCATTTTCTGTGCCTGAAAACCTTATAAAGCCTAGCCTAGCAGGTAGGTTGAACAGCAATTTGAATTCAGCTCGTCATGATGATGTGAAGAGACAAGGAAAACTACTAAAAACTGTTGGGTTCAGCTAGGAGAGAATGCTTAGTGAGTCAACTCCAATTACTCTTTTTAAAATATCTTTCAGCTTGTTAAAAGGCCGAGCTTCTGATGGCTTTCCAGTATATCAAGAAAAGACCATTCGAGAAAGTATCAGAAAATTTCCTTACTGCGAAGCTACACTCCTCCAGCAGCTGGTTCGAAGCATTGCCCCTGTTGAAATTGTAAGGCTCCTCTGACCTAAGTTGACTCTATCAGTAAGACCTAATTACCACATATTATATTGTTAAAGGCAAGTTCTCTTTAGTATTTATTTTTATTGTTTCAGAATTTTTTTAGGAACAAAGGTGGAGATAGGTTTGCCTGCTAAACCTGTTCCTGTTTATCCATTTTCCATCTCATGATTCTCTTTTTATCTTATTATGGTTCAGAGTTTAATAAACAGGATGTCCCTATGTGGTTAGGGTAGGAATTTACATTTTAAATACATCCACTATGTAATATAGGTACACACATATGCCCTTGTAGCTATAGCACAAAGTCATAGACTAGTTGCATGTATGAACTGATCGCCTAAGGTGATAGTATCCAGGCAGTGGGGATGTAGTGGGATAAGTCATGGGAAGTCTCATTGTGGTTCCTGATAACAATCTCAAAGCATGCCCCAGCTTCTTATAATCCACATTAATGCCTCTGATTAGAAAATGTCCATACTTAAAACCTATTTATACTTCCCAACTTTATAAGTACATTTTGTTAACTTTATCTGTCACTTAAATTACTTACTACTCATTTTTCATATATTTTAATTTATTTTGTCTTTTCTATTTTGAGACAGAGTCTTGCTTTGTCACCCAGGCTGGAGTGCAGTGGCACCATTTCAGCTCACTGCAGCCTCCACCTCCCAGGTTCAAGTGATTCTCCTGCCTCAGACTCCTGAGTAGCTGCGACTATAGGTGCATGCCACAATGCCCAGCTAATTTTTGTATTTTTAGTAGAGATGAGGTTTCACCACGTTGACCAGGTTGGTCTCAAACTCCTGACTCAGGTGATCACCTGTCTCGGCTTCCCACAGTGCTGGGATTATAGGCATGAGCCACTGTGCCTGGCCACCTTTTCTATTATGAATAGCTCTTTGTTTACCCTATCTATACCCATTCATGCTTTTGTACATTTCAGTCAAATCCTTGATCAGCTTTTGTCTATCAGGCAAGAAATTGCTCCTAAGATCAGTCCCATCCATTGCTTCCTCCCTCCCTCTGGCAAATCTGGTTCCCTTCTCTGAGCCTTCTTTGTTGGTCGTTATGTCATTCTTACTATGGAACATCAAGGCTCAAAGTGGGCTCCAGATGCTCCTTCGTACTTTTAAGACTTAACCTATTCTGAACCACGAAATAAACAAGAAAGACCTGAGCAGACAAAACCATCTCATAAAGTTCATGCATTAATTTATTCATATGTGCCCCCCATACTTTCAAGAGTTTCTTTCCTCATGCTTTTTAATATAGTTGGCTATTTAATGTTTTTGCTTTTGGAAGAATAAAGTTAGCAAATTATAATTTATCAATTACAAATGTGTTTGGCAGCACATATCAAAGCCCAGCCAACCATGAATTAAATAGATAAGGGTTTATGTATTCACATATGCTTAGATACCCAAAGGTAGGCAGACTAGGTCTGGCCTAGTGACTCAAAAATAGTTTGGCGACCCAAACACTTTTCCATCTTTCCCTCCAACCTTAGCTTTGTAGGTTCTCATACGCATACGTATGACCTCATGGTTACAAGACATTGATGTTCTTCCTTCAGCTCACATTCCTATCCCAGGCAGGCAGGAAGAGCAAAGGGGTCTATATCTGGAAGACATAAGCTCTCCCAGAAGCCTTCTGCCTGTGTAACATGACTCCCCTTAAACACACAGGAGCCTGGGAAAATGAGTATCTTTGGCTTTTCTAAACGCTGCCGCTCTGAACAAAATTACACTTCTGTTAGTGAGGAAGTTGGGAGAATTGATATCAGAGAAGCAACTAGCAGTACCTGTTATGTGGGATTTCCAGCAGTCACAAATGGTTGCTGATCTTCTGCCTTCATGGGAGAAAACACAAAAACTAAAACAGCACCCTAGAGTTCTCTTTAAAAAAAAGAAAAGCAGGTCAATATCATAGTCAACAAGTTATCTTAGCCCCATATACTAGAGTAATGTAATTGGAGTTTATAAAGTATAATGATTATTATTTTTTATTTTTATTTTTTTTAAGACAGAGTCTTGCTTTGTCACCCAGGCTGGAGTGTAGTGGCATGATCTTGGCTCATTACGACCTCCACCTTCTGGGTGTAAGCGATTATCATGTCTCAGCCTCCTGAGTAGCTGGGACTATAGACACATATCACTATGCCCGGCTAATTTTTTTGCATTTTTAGTAAAGACGGGGTTTCACCATGTTGGCCAGGCTGGTCTTGAACACCTGTCCTCAGGCGATCTGCCCACCTTGGTCTCCCAAAGTGCTGAGATTACAGGCATGAGCCACTGCACCCAGCCTGGAGTATAAGATTGTTTATCCTAGTGATCTGAGTCATTAAGAAAAGGTTTATAAAGTTAAGATAGTATTTAATGCATTTTAGAAAGACTTCTTTTAAAAAATTTTTTTTCTTTGAAAGTTTTATGTTCTACTCTCTGGAAAACTTTATGCCAAATGCTTATGATTATGCATATCACAGCCACTGTTTACTGCCCTATAGGTTTTGATATTCTGCCAGTTCTAAGCCTCTGAAGTGATGCCCACCTTTTCCCAGCACGTGATGGTTCTCAGGGCTGCTTGCCGTGAGCTTCACTGTGTTGTTTTCTGACAGTGCTAATCCTGGGCCCTCCTCCTCAGCTTTTGCTTCCCTCTGCATACTGTGGAACTCTGGCTTCTGCCTGTCACAAGGCTCAGCAGGAAGTGTGAGGCATAGCTGAGTTTAGAAAGATTGCTCCAGCATCACAGCAGATCATACCATTGAAGATAAGTTTGCTTTATCCATTGACAGTATATATTTTAACTTCTGGAAGGCTAGCTAATGTTTCTGATTTTATAGCATAGGTTGAATAAAGTATCCTATTTGTTTTTAGGCTGAATGTCTTTCTATGGGAGGAGCTCTGGCACCCAAACAGATTCTTACTTAACAAAGTAAATGGCAAAATTTGGTATGACAAGGGATTTATTGTCACAACACCAGGACCAAGAAAGATTCTACATGGTTACTCATCTGTACCACTGTTAACTTTTCTTTGTAAGCCATAGTTCACTAACAGGTGTGCTTTTAGCAAAATATTATTTTCTCTTCAGTTACATCTGTGAGAATGTTAGTGTGTGATATGGCTCCCACAACTGTCCCATTTCATGGGAGATTTTGAACATGTCTCAGGCAGTTTTGTGAAGAAATATTTGACCATGAAAATATCATTGTTGCAATGTCTGTTGAATGTATTATATTCTGTTGATTTGGACCAGACTGCTCCCTGATCCAGTACTCTACTTTTCAGGCAAAAGAATTACGCAGATTTGTAAGCCTTCAATGTAATATTAAGAACCAGTTATACTCAAACTTTCAGTATGTATTAGAATTACCTGGGAATGTTAGTAATAATGCAGGTACCTAGACCACATCCTTAGAAATTTTAAGTTAGAAGGTATGGGGCAGTGGGATGGATCTGCATTTTTAACAGATTCTCTGATGCCCTCTGGCATTTGAGCACAACTAAAATAGACCTTCATTCCTGATGAAATTATTAACTGAACTATCTAATATCTGAAACTTCATTTCAGCTAATTTTTCCTCACCATTGTACTATCTTCATTCTGAAAGAGAATTCACAGCACTTTCATGTGAAAATAAACCCAATAATTATTATTTGTGTTCAAGAAGAACATGGCAGTTTCAAAAGGAGTGCTACTTTTAAAATATATCTTGTATCTTTGAATACTATCTTTGACTATCTTGAGTATACAGAACAGTGCAGGACATTGTTCCCAGGTGGTATTTTTAAACCTCTATTATGTACAGTTGGTAAGATAATATAAAAACAAATATTCTTAAGAAGAAAAAGAAAATATTCAAATGAAAATTAAAATTATAAGGAGTGTTAAAATTCTGGTTTGGAATAAATGAACAAATTTGAAAAACTCAGAACAAAGAACTGTTAGGAGTAGGTAAGAAAATAGATACCCTGTAATTATTTTTTGCTAAATAGGTTTTAGTAGCATCGTCTCAGACAGATAAATACTTAACGATTTTTTTTTTTTTTGATACAAGTTCTTGCACTGTCACTAAGGCTAGACTGCAATGTCATGATCTTGGCTCAGGCAACATCTGCCTCCCAGGCTCAGGTGACCTTTCTGCCTCAGCCTCCCAAGTAGCTGGGACTACAGGTGTGCCACCATTCCTGGCTAATTTTTGCATTTTCAGTAGGGTTGGGGCTTCACAGTGTTGGTCTGGTCTCGAACTCCTGACCTCAGGTGATCTGCCTGCCTCTGCCTCAAAAAATGCTTGGATTACAGGCGTGAGCCACCACTCCCAGACCCTTATAATTTTCTTTTAAAAAAAATTTATAAATCTTTAACAACCTATTTTAATTTTCCATAACCCATTAGTAATAAGTTTCATGTTTGATTCAATTGCATGTATATTTCTTAAAGAATTTGGAACATACCAATTATAATGGTGATAATTTATTTGAATTGCAAGCCAACATCAAATAAATGAGTTCAAATATATTGTCTTTAAAATACTTAGATTGTACCAAACTTTTAGGAATTAAGATAGTTAAACATTTCGGATGCTTAACTGTAACTATAATCATCTCATGGAATATGAATATTGTCTGGATGTCAGTTCTCAGAAAAAAAATTTCCACTCTGGAGTCATTGTCCTAAATCTGAGTCATTATGGGGTTACTCAATTAACCGAATTGGAAAAATCATTTTATTCTAGATTAAGGCTTTTTTCTCTTTAATTATTTGGACCCATGACTTATTTTTTCATATGTTTTATATATAAAATGGTATATTCTAAAAGATTTTTGTCACTTTATCTTAAATTCTGTGTAATCTATAGCCTTATGATTTCTTCCCTTTTTGTGTCAACATTGTAGGACAGCAGTGTCCATGGGCTGATATCTCTGTAGTGTTTCCATGGTGATTTCAGAGTTTGTTTTTTCTCCTCGTCCTGCCCACTCTAGGGTTCTGATCCCACTGCATTCTCCGTCCTTACCCAAGCCATCACTGGCCAGGTGGGTTTTGTGGATGTGGAATTTTGTACCACCTGTGGAGAAAAGGGAGCAAGTAAACGATGTTCAGTTTGCAAAATGGTAAGAATGGAGTTCTTTTTAGTTCATGAACCTCTGGTTTAGATTCCACCAAGCTGATGATTAAGTTTTAATTTTCTGTAACAGTTGACATTAGTTTTCTAATAAATTCTAACAATGAAAATATTGCATTTAATACTTAAAAACTAGTTTTGGAAGAGAATTAATAGGATCAGTGTAGTTCTAAGCTGTGTCAAATTGCCAAATTTCTGCCAAACTGCCAGTCTTCCTTTGCCTCTTTGCTGATCACCTCATGGAAAGAAAGGATATGAATGAATGAATGAATGAATGAATATGAGAAAATAAGATAAAGATTATCTGGGGGGCAAGGAGACTGAGGCTGGTGCAGATGTGAAACCTCGAATAGGACAGTTCATAAATATATAATCTTTACTTTTCTGATGTTGACTTTAATGACCATCTCTTCATCAACATGTCCTTATAAAACTGCAGTTTCTGAGTGTTGCTAATCTTTCATCCCTATGGACTATATTGCCCCCTTCTGCCAGAATTATCTTTGTAAAAGGCATATCTGATAGTATTGTTCTCACATCCACATACTGGACAGATGCACGTGTTGTACATTCACTTAATCCCATAGGTAGCATCAACTGCCTGTTGACTTTAAGGTTGAAATGAAACCCATTATAATCTGCTGTCACCTACTTCTTCAGCTTCATTTTAATGACTTACTTCTCTGAACCTCACTTTCCTGAATTAAGTGAAATTCCAGAATTAAATGGAAATACTTTTAACTAGCACTGCTTATAAAAGCACAGTAAAAGTGTTTAAAACAATAATCATTTAATCTTTCTCTCCCAGTTGTGGTTGGCTGTTGTTAGCTGGAGCAGTTGTGCTCCATGTGACTCTCATCCTCCTTATACTAGCAGGCTAGGCTGAGCATGTTGTCATGGCAGTAGCAAAGGTATGTAGCTGGAACCACAGAAGGTCTCTCAAGGACTAGCCTTGAAACTGCCATGTTGTCTCATGCTGTTGGCCAAAACAAATCACATGGCCTAATCTGAGATCAAGTCTCCTCTCCTTCAGTGCAGAGAGCTTTGAAATCATGAGAAAGTGTATGAATGCAGGAATGAATGGAGAATTGGGGCCAATAATACAATATATGTATAAGGGGCTAACACAGTGCTTGCAATATAGTAAGTGTTTAATAAAGTTCATTTCCATCTCCTTTCCACCCCCACTTGCAAAAATATAAGGTCATTTACAAAAACTTCTTGCTATTCTTGAACATAACATTCACTTCCCTGTTCCTGCATTTTTGTACAAGAAATTTTCTCCATTTGGAATACTTCTTTCCCATTTTTCTGTCTACCTTGACTCACCGCAGCTAGGGTGAGTCGCTGCTTCCTCTATGCCTCCATCACGCTTACATCTTGTACTGTATTAAAAAATTATGTATTTAGGTGCCCGCCTCCTCCCTTCTTCCATATCCTTCTTTTGCTTGCCCCTATCTACCTTTGGGACAAAACTCTATTTTCCTTGACATTGTAATGTACCAATTCTGGCACATAGTGGGTTTATTATAAGCTATTTGCTAAAGTCTTCGGTAGACTATTTGTTATATATTCATTATTGTTTTAAAGTAAAGCTACAAAGTACAAATCGAAATCAATACATAGATACTGTATTAGGCCATTCTTATACTGCTATAAAGAAATACTTGAGACTTGGTCATTCATAACTAAAAGAGGTTTAATGGACTCACAGTTCTGCAGGTGTAAAAGAAGCATGGCACATGCTTCTAGTGAGGTGTGAGGAAGCTTTCAATCATGGTGGAATGTGAAGGGAGAGCAAGCATGTCACACGGCAGGAGCTGGAGCAACAGGGGCAGGGGAGGTGCCACACGCTTTTGAACAACCAGATCTTGTGAGAACTCACTCATTATTTTGAGGACAGCACCAAAGAAGAGTGCTAAACCATTTATGCAAAAACCACCCCCATGATCCTATCACCTCCCACGAGGCCCCACCTCCAACATTTGGGATCATAATTCAATATGCAATTTAGAGGGAACAACATCCAAATTATATCAGCCACATATTACGGTTTTAAAATAAAGTATGGGAAACAACATTTTTATAGCATAGTTCTTGGTTTAATGTCATAGTAGGGAAATCATACAATCCCAGCTCTTGAAATGAAAATAAACCTACAATTGCTTTCAGGTAATATATTGTGATCAAACCTGCCAGAAAATACACTGGTTTACTCATAAGAAAATCTGTAAGAATCTGAAGGACATTTACAAGAAGCAACAATTAGAGGCTGCCAAAGAAAAGAGACGAGAGGAGAACCGTATGTATATAAAAACCAAGTTCATTTGGCTTCTTAGTGGAGAGAGATGATAGGTGATCTTAACACACTGGAACTGAGTCTTCTCTGGAAGCCAGAGGAGCTCAAGAGTGACCAGTGTAAGCATCACATTTAAATTCAAATGTATCCCTTTTTTAAAATTCTTGGGATATAGTCAGCCTAGACATCACTGGAAAACAGAGACATCAAATTCTGAGGAATGTAGTTTATTTTATATTCTACATTCTAGCTTAGGTGACTGCCCTGGAACAATGGGACTCCTAATGGATATTAACTTATATTCTGCTCATGAAGGATTTTAAAGTCTTTGAATAAGGGAATTAACTAAATTTCCACTAATGGCTACCAGAAGATTTTGAGAGTGGAAGCCTTTAAATTCCTTAATTAAATTTCAGAACTACAGGTGAAATTACAGAGTAGATTGATAAATCACTCGTTAAATTGCAGATCTAATACACAGAGCAAATTTCTACAAGTGTCAGAGCAGTAAATTTTGAGTTATTTTTTTCTCCACCCCTCTTGAGGTTTTATGACCCATTTTCATCAGAAATAGTGAGTTGCTTCAGCAGTGATTCTCGATTGGAAAGGATAACCACCCCCACCTTCATGCCTCACTCTAGACAATATATCGTATGTTCTGAGGGAGTATATGTAGTTTGAAAAAGCTGCATTGGTTACTCTGATACCAGGCATTTCCACCTCCACCCCTCAAGGAACCATATCCCTTTTACTACTGGGTTGAGAAATACTCTCAGTGGAATTAATAATTTGTACAGAATTAAACCATTTATCCTTAAGAGAATAGTCAGGCTTTCTGATTGCCATGCCTTCTCTTGTTTTCTTGACCAAACTTTTTTATTCTATGTGCTAAGGACAGAAAGTAACAAATGTTCATTACTAACACACCATTGATGGAGAATAAGATTGTCAATAGAATGGGCACTCCCAGCTGTTAAGCATCATCCATGTGCCAAACACTGCTCTAAATATTCAGACACCTTTTTTTTTTCCACCAAAGTAGGATAGCCTTTATTACCTCCATATTATAGATAAAAAAAAAAAAAAAAAAAAAAAACCAACTGCATGCAGGTAATTACCTCTTCAAGGACATCAAACTAATTCAGAGAAGAGCTGTATTCAAATACAGGCTTTGTCAAATCCCAAGCAACAATCCTGATTTATAGGTGGCTTTGGAGCCAGAGGCCTGAATTCAAATGCTAATTCTGCTGTTTCACTAGCTAGGAATCTTGGAGCAAGTTACCAAGCCTCTGTCTTCTCAGTTTTCTTATTTGTAAAATAATGATAGCAATTACAGTAGAGATAATATACCTCATGTAGTTGATATGAAGATTAAATAATACATGTAAAGCATTGGGAAGAGTGTTTGACACGTGGTAGCAACAAAATAACAACTTCTTCTTTTTTTTAATCAGACCACAAACTTGATGTCAATTCTAACTGTGTTAATGAAGAGCAACCAGAGAATGAAGTGGATATCCCCCAAAAGGATTCCAATCCTAAAGATTCCGGGGAAGAAGAGAAAGAATCTCTTGAAAGTGAGGCTGGTTTGGAAGGCTTACGGGATGCTCCTGCAGGTCCACAGGTGTCCGAGGAGTAAAAGCCAGAGCAAGTGCCAGTGTGGATGGTCCTCACCCTGCAGGGAGCTGGACTCATGGGAATGCGTCCTCGCCTCCTTATACCTGCATGTCACCCTGGCAGGATTCTGCATTTCATAGAATAGAGGTTTTCAAGCAAAGCCCTCTTGGCCATGCCCTAATTTCCTATTGATTTCTGTTCTATAATTGAATGGATATTCCTATGGAAAATTTTTTGTTTCAAAATACAGGAAAAACATTCCTGTTACCTTTCTGAGGCTGACTTTCCAGCAATTGTTTCAAAGGAAAATAGATCCCCTTAAAGAAAAAATAATAGGCTTTAGAGAACAAAGTGACAAACAGAGCAGGTGTGGAAGAGAGATTTTCAGGAAAGAAAAAAATTATAGCTACACAGATGGGCAGTTAGAGAAATCATAACTTATAGGTGAATGAAATACATATAAACAACATTTACTGTAGTGACATTCTACTTACTAAAATGCAATGAAATGAAGAAAAGCTATATGTTCAAGGACCTTTGCCATAGTTCCGCTAATTGTAGTTTTATATAGAAATGATCCTGAACAGTCTGAACTGTAGTGATGTTCTGTCTGCAGTCTTTGTACGTCCGGGATGGCAGAACCCTCAGCAGGAACAAAGGCATATTGACGGTTCTCTCAGCACGTGCATTAAAAAAGGTACTTCCTGAAACTTTTGATTAAATAATGGCTAAACATACTATGTACACAATTATTGTAAGGCTAATTCACGTGCCATACTCCACCTGAAAAACTGACTTGTTTTGCTATAAGCTTTTCATCGAGCACTTCCTTTCCAGAAACTGATTTGTAACTGTCATTTAGAGAATGTCCTGGCATCAGTTTTTAGCATATGTGGTATTTAAACAGAGCTAGAGTGTGATGTCTGAAGATAGTGCTGCGTTTCTAAGTTTCTTGTGTGGATTTTAAAATAAATTGTGCCTACAAATATAAACAACTCATCTTGTTTTATAATTTGTTATTGGGAGTGGCAAATATTAGAGAAATATTAGGAAACTTGTAATAGGGAACTTGACAAATATTGGAGACCAGCAAAGTACTAATTATTTTAATATGTACAATTGCAGAACAAAATGACTAGAATTCTTACCTCACTTTGCTGATCAGATTGCATCTTCTGGATTTGGTGGGGTTTTTTTGTTTGTTTGTTTTTGTTTTGAGACAGAGTTTGGCTCGTGTCTTCCAGGCTGGATTGAAATGGTGCGATCTCGGCTCACTGCGACCTCCGCCTCCCAGGTTCAAGTGATTCTCCTGCTTCAGCTTTACAAGTAGCTGAGATTACAGGTGCCCACCACCATACCCAGCTAATTTTTGTGTTTTTAATAGAGATGGGGTTTCACCATGTTGGCCAGGCTGGTCTCAAACTCCTGACCTCAGATGATCAGCCCACTTTGGCCTCCCAAAATGCTGGGATTTCAGGTGTTAGCACCGTGCCTGGCCTATCTTGCAGATTTTTATCTTCCTAACACTCCATTATTTTTTTCCTATATTACACACACCCTATACCATGCTGGCTCTAGGATGACTTTGAGTAAATTCAATGTTGAGGGTTAACTGGTTAGGATTCCAGCAGATGAATTTAGACTGAATTTGTTAATCATGACAAGCCTCCCTTGGAAAAAAATAAAATCATTCATCCAAGTACTTCCACCTGTGTACACACTGATGAGCATTTATCTTTTGGTAGTAAAGGAGCCCTCCCAGCCCCTCCTCTCCCGCTGACATGCTTTTTACCTGAGTTTCTGGGATTTTAGTGATTTCTGTGTGATGTTTGTGTTACCATCGTTCTCCTTTTCACCCCACTCTGTTGCACATTGTAGAGGGCTCTGGCAAGAGGGCATGGCCCCCTGTCTTTGGATACCATGGAGCAGGCGTCCCCAAACTACAGCCCGCGGGCCGTATGCGGCACCCTGAGGCCATTTATCCAGCCCCCCACTGCACTTCAGGAAGGGGCACCTCTTTCACTGGTGGTCAGTGAGAGGATCACAGTATGTGGCGGCCCTCCAACGGTCTGAGGGACAGTGAACTAGCCCCCTGTGTAAAAAGTTTGGGGACGCCTGCCATGGAGGGTTGTGGAAAAGCAGAAAGAATTGTCATCCAGTACTGAATTATTTCCCTGCTCTGCATTTGCTGCAAAAAAAGAACATAAAATTGGTGAGGAAAAAAGGGAAGCAGGTTTTATTCCTGGCCAGGAATGGAAAAGGAGGGAGCTCTTGCTCTAAAGACATCTACCTCCCAAGCTGTGGGAAGTTGGGGAACTTTAAGGAGTTAGATGTGGGGTGGGAGGAGAGTAAGCTTATTCAGAGAGGAACTCCAGATGCACAGGCGTACATCATAAACGTGTCTCCATACGCTCCGTGTTCAGAAAAGGCACTGGAGCAGGTGACTGGGGCAGGTGACTGGGATGAGTCAGCATGGAGGAGGGGACTGGGGTAACAGATGTGAACTACTGATTAGAGCTGGTGGAAAAGGTTGTTTACTGAAACTGCAAGGAAGTCAAACTTTAAAATGGAGAATTAAAGAATAAGAGAGCTGACCATACTGACAATACTGATTCTTCAAAGAGAAACTTGGGTTTCCCTATATTTAACAGGAGCAATAGGAAAGCACAAGTATTTGGCTCTAGAACTGTCTGAGGCCATGACTCCTGACATGTGAAGGCGCCTGAAAATGCAGTTTCTACATGGACACCATCAAGATAGGGCTAGAGAGAGGCAACACTATTTGAGCTGTTGAATCCAGTGGGCTCTGACAGAGTCCACACTTGGGGTTTATAAGGTCCACTTACATGAGCAAATGCATTTCCCATTTGAATTTCTGTCACTTAGAACCGAAGAATCCTTATCTTGTGGCAACTAAAAAACAAGCAAATTTAAAAAGTTAAATACATACAAATATAGGTAAAAGAAAAATGAAGGCATATCACTTGAATTTTATGATTATATTCTCTAGAAAATTAACAATGACAGTTCAAATTTTGAATTAGATTTGAGGACTAACCTCTGATAATTTATCTTGCCCAAATTCCTACCTAAGGGGTCTGGGGAGACATGCCCTACAAACCATGAATTCTCATCATATGGGTTTTATTTGACCCTGTTTATTGTGACTTGCTTTTCATTGTGACCTGGCGTAACATTATGAGACAAGGAAAAAATATATAACCCCCAAATATATTTCTTTACCATGCCTTGGAATTGCATGGGAAGGATCCACTTCTATAGAGAATCCCTTCCCCACTTTGTTTTCCTTCCTTTCTTTGCAGATCCAGGAGATAATCAACTAAGAGCCAGGTGCCCTTTTAGGTCTGATAAGAAACATTTTACAACCTGCTCTCTCTCTGAAGTCTGCTATCTGAGAGATTCCTCGGCACAGCACAATAAAACTTGGTCTCCACAATCCTTTATCTTTAACCTGAACATTCCTTTCTATGGATCCCAGATCTTTAGACAAACTCAACCGTCAACTAGAAAATGTTTAAATTTACCTATAGCCTGGAAACCCCTGCTTTGAGTTGTCCCACCTTTCTGAACCAAACCAATGTATTTCTTAGATGTATTTGATTGATGTCTCATGCCGCTCTCAAATCTATACAACCAAGCTGCGCTGGGACCACCTTGGGCACGTGATCTCAGGACCTCCTGAGGGCTGTCATGGGCCATGGTCACTCATATTTGGCTTAGAATAAATCTCTTTGAATATTTTACAGAGTTTGTCTCTTTTGGTTGACAGATTGCCGTTATTTTTGTTGAACAAATCAACACAAGGTATTTTTGCACCTATTTACTGATGTTTATTTTGAAAAAAACCTCATATTTCTTTAAAATTGGAATAGGGCATGGTTATGTAAATTTTGATAATATCAAAGCATCATTTCTATGGACAAAAACAATATCTTAATTTAGTAAAAAGAAACTTTCTTCTTATAATTATTTCAGTAGATGAGCAGATTTTTCCCCCAAAGATAGCTCTATCCTGGTTCACAGAGCTGGTTGTATATATCCTTTAAAGTCCTAGTTTTATAAACAGCCAAAGGCAAATGGTGATCATACTATGCAGCAAATAAATCAGATAGCTACATAATTGACCATTTCAGGAGAATGTAGCTAGCTAATTCAAATACTCATACAAAACCACTTCATCTGATGAGATTCCAAATGGCTAAGATTTTAATGTGGAAAAAATAATCCCATGAGAAACCCAGAAATCACAAAAGGAAACAAATCTGGCTACATTTAAAACATAATCTGAATACTTCTGCTCCTGGGAAGGTGGAGTGAACATACTTTTCACTATTATTCCCACTAAGGAAAGCTAAAAACCCTGAACAATTGTATATTTTAAAAATGTAAGAAGACCCTGAAAGTTGGAGAGGAGGTAGACTGGCTAGGGATCCTGGACCCAGGGGTTCCATGTAGCAACACCTGATGAGTTCTCTGGCTTTTCTTCCTGCCTCATGTAGCCCAGACTTGGAGCTGAAGAAGCTAGAAAATGGAAACACCAACAGCTACAGACCAAAAAAGTCCCAACAAAGGCCTGCCAGTCTGCCAGCCTGTCCTGTGGATTTCCAACTCATTGCAGCATCAACTCATACCTGAAGCTCTGGCTTCTCTACAAACTTTGAATTTGCCGGTCCCCACAATGTCATAAGCCAATTCCTTAAAATAAATATCTAGTTCTACATATGCGTGTATTCTTCTGGTTCTGTTTCTCTGGAGAACCCTAATAGATCATTTGCCTTAGTCAATTCAAGCTGCTGTCACTGGGTGGTAAAAACTACAATTACTTATTACTCACAGTTTTGGAAGCTGGAAGTCTAAGATCGGATTTCCAGCAGGATTGAGTTCTTGGTGAGCATCCTCTTCCTGGTCTACGGAGTACTGTGTTACTTAAGTGGAAGAAGTAGGGTAAGCTAGTTCTCTGGCGTCTTCTTATAAGGGAACTAATCCCATTCATGAGGGCTCCACCTTCACGACCTAGTTACCTTCCAAAGGCTCCGTTTCCAAATACCATCACAATGGGAATTTGATTTCAACATAAGAATTTGGGGAGGACACAGACATTTAGTCCATAACACCAAGTATAGCCCCTAAGGGCACAGCTGCCCTTGGGATATGAATAACAGTAATAGCTAACATATATGGAGTACTTTAAGAAAGCCACTTAACTTGACATACGTTATCTAACTTAATTGCTGAGACTCTGTGAGGTAACTATTATTATTTTAAATAGAAGGATATCAAAGCCTTGACAGGTCAACTAACTTTTCCAAGTATCATCTAGTAAGTGGAACAGCTAAGCTACATCTGTTGGATTCCAGAGTCCCACTTCCACTTGAATGGGCATCTTGTTGTGTTGGTTTTTTTTTCTTCTTCTTTTTTCCCTTTCTCTTCTTCTTCTTTATTTTGAGATAGGTTTTAGCTTTGTCACTGAGGTTGGAGTGCAATGGTGCAATCTCAGCTCACTGCAACTTCTGCTTCCCAGGCTTAAGAAATCTTCCCACCTCAGTCTCCCAAGTAGTTGGAACTAAGGGTGCATGACACTATTCCTGGATTTAATTTTTTTTTTTTTTTTTTTTTTTTTTTTGGTAGAGACAGGGTTTTGCCATGTTGCCCAGGCTGGTCTCTGACTCCTGGACTCAAGCAATCTGCCTCCAACTCAGCCTCCCAAAGTGCTGAGATTACAGGCGTGAGCCCACTGCACCCATCTGGGTCTCTTGTTTAAAGTAAATAACTTAATTTAAAATACCCTCTTAATAACGACATATTCTATTTTGGTATAGTTTTAGGTAACTTAAAGTCACGTCTTCTATATCGTGTTTCTCCTGAAACGGTATTTCGTACAGTGTTTCCCGCTCGCAATAATGAAGGGTCATTTATTAGCCCTTCATTGTTCAATCATATATCCAGTATTGAGGAATGCATTCTAAAGCAAATT